TAGTACTCAGTTAAAAACATTTTATTTAGGCCTATCTATGGTCTTCAAAAAGTTGATGACTCTACATGTTTCGATGTTACAACGTCATTCTCAGGAGTAACGTCGAAACATGTAGAGTCGTCATCTTTTTGAAGATCATAGATAGGCCTAAATAAAATGTTTTTAACTGAGTACTAGTTTAACTTTGAATATTATTTATGATTTTTTATAATGGTAATGTTTCCCACATTTATAACAATTCGTTGTTTCTTTCTGACCCTCTTTGGAAGAAATTTGTATTTGCTACAATCTTTTGTCTGCAGTTCTTGCAGATATATCCTTTCAAGTTACACCTGAAATACCTATTGTCTTGTAGTTTATTTCCTCCATTCTATATACGTAATTTACTACCTGACCCTCTCTTCTTCTATTCTATCGTCATAGGGAGTTTATGTTTCAATATTGTTTGATCTGATGATCCCATAACTTCTAGATGATGTCTTGAGTTGTTTATCTTGGGCTTTAGTCAATTAAAGGTTTATCATCAACTGGAGAGCTTCCTTTAAAGACGTACACCTACTTTGCTTCTACCACTGAAGAAGACACTAATTTGTATCAAAACGTACGACATTTTTTATCACTCTTTTTTAATGAAATTGTTTTATTTTAACTGTTTTGTTTAGGCTTAATTTTGTCTGGTGTGTCAAGAAAGATGATGTTAATAGTTTGCTTCAAATTTGGTCACATATCCTCATCTGCTACAGCATCTATAAATTGGTTACATACCAATGAACCAATCAGTTTATGTTGAAAATTTGGGTAAGATAATTGGACAAGTTTCCCAAGTCTTCTACAAGTTGGACTAATGTCTCTTCTTTCTTCCTTACTCTGTTACTGAACTTTGCTTTCGATATTTCCTTCTGAGGTGTCACTTTGGACCTGTTGAATAAAAGGCAGCTACCAATACTTGATGATTGTTATGGGTCTCAGCTGGAAGATTACCTAATGCCATTAAAACCACTCCTTTTAAATGGGCTACAAAATGAATAGCTTGTTCTTCACTGTTCCACCCATTCACTCTGGATACTATTTTGAACTGAGCTCTTGATATAACCTCCCTTCTCACTCGGGTACTCTTCTATCATAGTATGTTTGTTTCTCGATTGGGTGAGGTTGTTGAACTGGCCAGCAACATTCATTCAACCAACTCAATCACTAATGAACAGACTCACTAAGTGATACTAAACTGGTCAATTAAATATAATTTAGTTATTCTAGCATTTTTATTTACTACACAAAGCGTTGAGATTCTACAGAGTCCTAAACTTCGAAAAAATGTCTAGACTTCATAGAATTAGTACATCATGTAAACTTGTAAATCTCTCCCTCTGGTGAACAAAGCATTAAAATAGTAAAAACAATGCTTACAACAATAAAACTATTTACTCACCAATTAGAGAGAAACGTACCTTTATTTGAGTTGGTTTGGTGTATTTTACCCCAACAAGGAATGATGCACTTCTACTTTTACCAATCGATGACATTATAACTCATTTTTTTGTAAAAATAATTATAGAAATACAAAGGTGATATACATACACAAGCAATGACTGTTAGACATTGTACGTTGATTGCGATACTGTTCTCCTCCCTGCCATTGAAAAAAAGTATTATTGCCAAACAATTTGAATTTAGATTAATCTTTAAAGAGCACTCTGCTGAAGTTATGGCCATCCTAATGTTTAAAATTAAATGTCAATTTCAATCTTTTTGATTGGTTATCTCTTTTAGTATTTGGCTTTGGAACAATTATATACAGTCACTGTGGTCACTTGGTACCAATGTGTATCTTACTGTTCGGCCCGGCATGGCCAGGTAGTTAGGGCGCTTGACTCGCAATATGAGGGTCGCGGGTTGGAACTCCGAGCCCACCGAACATGCTCGCCCTTTCAACCATGAGGGCGTTATTATGTGATGGTAAATCCCACTATTCGTTGGTAAAAGAGTAGCCCAAGAGTTGGCGGTAGGTGGTGATGACTAGCTGCCTTCCCTCTATCCTTTCACTGCTAAATTAGGGACGGCTAGCGCAGATAGCCTCATGTAACTTTGCGCGAAATTCAAAATAAACCAAATTTTACCGTTCTAAAAACACATATTCGCTCACTAAAACAATCACAGAAACGGAAGTAAAACTAGTTATAAAAGCTACCAAAAACAAAGCACCAGTAGAAGACCGCATACAGGCTATCCTCCTCAAAAAATGCACTCAGAGACTGTATGGACACCTAACAGCACTTTTTAATTTATCACTAAGTTCTGGATACATCTCGGTTTCTTGGAAGCAAGCGATCATACTACTGTTCTATAAAGAAGGAAAGCTAGCAAATAAACCAAGCAAC